TTTCCCCTTCTCCGTCCATCCAACCCATCCAAACTTCATTCTTCTTCATCCATTCTTGTGTCATCTCAAGCCTTTGCTCTTCTCCATCCATCCAACCCATCCAGCCTTCATTCTTCTTCATCAATTCTTCTGTCATTTCCAACTTTCCCCTTCTCCGTCCATCCAATCCTTCCATCATTTCCCTGCTCCATCTGATGAAAGTTGGATCCACCCTTTTGTCATCTCCATCTTTTACTCTTTTTCATGCATCCTTGGCTCTTCTCCATCCATCCAATCCTCCCAACCTTCATTCTTCTTCCTCCAACCTTCCACCATCTCCATCTTTCCCCTTCTCCATCCATCCAACCCATCCAGCCTTCGTTCTTCTTCATCCATTCTTCTGTCATCTCAAGCCTTTGCTCTTCTCTGTCCATCCAACCCTTCCAAACTTCATTCTTCTTCCTCCATTCTTCCACCATCTCCAACTTTCCCCTTCTCCATCCATCCGATCCTTCCGCCCTCCGTTCCTCCCCCTGCCCCCAACCCCCCCACCCTTCTCCCCCTTCCCCCCTCCCTCAGCACCTCTCTTCCTTCCCAGATGACGTCGGCCACCAAGGTGTACTACAGCCAGACCACGCAGACCGACAGCCGCCCTCTGATCGGCGCGGCGCTGCGTCGCCGCCGCGTCATGACCAAGGACGGCCGCAGCAACGTGCGCATGGAGCACATCGCCGACAAGCGCTTCCTGTACCTCAAGGACCTGTGGACCACTTTCATCGACATGCAGTGGCGCTACAAGCTGCTCCTCTTCTCCGCCACCTTTGCCGGCACCTGGTTCGCCTTCGGCGTCGTCTGGTACCTGGTGGCGGCGGTGCACGGCGACCTGCTGGAGTTCGAGCCGCCGGCCAACCACACGCCGTGCGTCATGCAGGTCCACACGCTCACCGGCGCCTTCCTCTTCTCCCTGGAGTCGCAGACCACCATCGGTTACGGCTTCCGCTACATCAGCGAGGAATGCCCGCTGGCCATCGTGCTGCTCATCACCCAGCTGGTCCTCACCACCATCATGGAGATCTTCATCACCGGCACCTTCCTGGCCAAAATCGCCCGGCCCAAAAAGCGAGCGGAAACCATCAAATTCAGCCAAAACGCCGTGGTGGCCCAACACGACGGCAAGACGTGCCTGATGATCCGCGTGGCCAACATGCGCAAGAGCCTCCTGATCGGCTGCCAGGTGACGGGCAAACTGCTGCAGACCCACCTCACCAAGGAGGGCGAGAGCGTGCGGCTCAACCAGCTCAACGTGGACTTCCAGGTGGACACGTCGTCCGACAGCCCCTTCCTCATCCTGCCGCTCACCTTCTACCACGTGGTGGATGACACCAGCCCCTTCCGCGACGCGGCGCTGCGCACGGGCGAGGGGGACTTTGAGCTGGTGGTCATCCTCAGCGGCACGGTGGAGTCCACCAGCGCCACGTGCCAGGTGCGCACCTCCTACCTCCCCGAGGAGATCCTCTGGGGCTACGAGTTCACCCCCGCCATCTCGCTGTCGGCCAGCGGGAAATACGTGGCGGATTTCAGCCTCTTCGACCAAGTGGTGAAGGTGGCGGCGCCGTGCTGCGTCCGCGAGGCCGTGAGGTTCGGGGACCCCGAGAAGGCGAAGCTGGAGGAGACGCTGCGCGAGGCGGCGGAGCGCGAGGGAGCACCGCTCAGCGTCCGCATCAGCAACGTCTGAGCCACCGCCGGAACCGGGGCGGCCACCGATGCCACCACCAGCACTGGAGATGCCACCACCAGCACCGGGGACGCCAGCGCGGGGAGACGTCACCAGCTCTGGAGATGTCACCGCCAGCAGCCCTGGAGAGGCCACCACTGGGGTGGGGAGATGCCACCGCCACCGGAGATATCGCTCCCAACCCGTCCTGGAGACACCGCTGCCAGCCCTGGTGATGCCACCGCCAGCATGGGGAGACGCCACCAGCTCTGGAGATGCCACCACCAAGGGCGCAGAGACGCCACCACCGCTGGAGATGTCACCGGCAGCCCTGCAGAGGCCACCACCAGCGTGGAGAGATGCCTCCAGCCCTGCAGATCCCACTCGCAGCCCCGAAGATGTCACCGCCAGCCCCAGGGACGATGTCACCAAACAGGGAGACGCCACCATCGCTGGAAATGCCACCACCGGTCCTGGAGGTGCCATCACCACCAGCACTGGAGATGATGCCACCACCATGGAGGTGCCACCACCAGCCAGCCCTGCGGACCCCCTGCCGCTGCAGATGCCACCAGCAGAGGGGGGAGATGCCACCAGCTCCACCCCCCCCCCCCCCCCCCA